GGGGGAAGGGGATTTGGGTTTGGGTACTGGGTTGGGTAGTACGAGTTAGGTGTTTGGTACTGGGTTTGGGGTGGAGTAGGGTAGTGGGCTGGGTTCGGGTATTCGGCCACATGGGCCTGGGCCGGGTAGGGGGAGTAGGGTCGTGGGCCTAGAAGGCCTGTGAGGGGGTTTTAACTTCCAGGTATTTGGGCCGGGTTGTCGTTGATTCGGGCCGCCTCGTCCACGTCCTCGGCCACGTCCGCGATAACCACCAGTGCTGCCCCGATTTGATCCGCCGAAACTGCCCCGCCCGGAGTTCTACCCGCTGCTGCCCTGCCGCGACTGACCCCCACCCGCCATGTTGCTGTCGCCGCCGCCGCTAAGGCTGAGAAGGGCGGTGGACGGGCCAGTGTTGGGGAGGGTGTCGGCCTGCTGTTGTTCGACCAAGAGGAGGGCCGATCGGACTTCCAGCAACGTCGGAAATGGTTTTTGATACTGCAAAAAGTGAACTTGGCCCCGGATGTCATGCGGCAATCCTTGAAGGACTTGTAGGACGAGGGCGTGTTCGGTCACCGGAGCATCCACGTCGTCGAGATAGTCGGCTAGGTTCTTGAGAGTGTGACAATACTCATTTATTGTCTTGGTTCCTTTGACGGTGGTGCGGAACCGGTGCTCCAATTGCATCGCTCGGGCATGCTTGTTGTCATGAAACAATTTGTAGATCGCTTTTCAGAGTGCCGAGGCGGTAGGGCTATTTGCAAGGACAAGATCGGAGACCTCATCGGAGACGGTAGACAAGATCCATCCTTGAAGTAGGGCGTCGAATTGGAACCACTCGGCATCATCGGCCGATTTGGTGACGATAGTGCCGTCAAGATATCCCATGAGATTAAATCGAAGAAGAAGGAGACGAAAGAGTCGACTCCATTTTTTGTAGTTCGGCTCCGAGATACTGAGTTGAACGGGGATATGGAGTTTAATATTTGAGATTGTTGTAAAAGCAAGGTGGGGAGATTTGGTGTTGTCGGAGGAGACGGGGGAGACTTCGGCCATGGTGAGAGATGGGGGAGATGGCGGAGAGAGAGAGAGGGATCAGGCAGAGAGAGAGCTGCGGTAGAGAGGGAGAGAGATACTGCCGAGAGAGAGAGAGAGAGCCGAAACAGGGGAAGGAAGCCGTGAAAAATTTTAGGGCTCCGATACCATGAAGAATTGGTATTTTCGATGATCATAATGTGTAAATACATGGGAATATATATAGTAGAGCTTTCCTAGTTACATTAGGAAACCTACTATGTTAGGAATCCTTAATTAATAAGGACTATACAAGTACGGAAACTTCTATATACAAAATATACTAAATATATACAGAATATATTTAACAGCGATGACTCCAAACTGGTGCATCTCGTTAAGACGCCATAGCGGCTGTACATCTTCTGCCTCTACCAGTTCCATTGTGATACGTATCGTATCGGCAAGAGAAGCTTCGAGTGTTCTCTAACTCCAAGAAGGTGAGAATATTGAAGAGCAAGAGAGAGAGACGAGATTGAGGGAATGAGGGGAAGGCCGTGCGGCAAGGTAGGGGAGAATTAGGTTTTTTTAATTTTTCCGTTATCATGGAGGACTACACCTCTATTTATAGGTTTAGAAAGAATCCCCTTCCTAGTAAACTACGTTTTCTATCCTGACGGTTCAAGAAAAGCGACGAGGTAAAGAACCGTAAAGAAACCCTCGAAGAAGCTTATAATTCGCTCACCTAGTAAAAATCTACGATACATTTAAAATAAAGTAAAATAGTGAAAATCATTAATGCGTAATGAATTCCCGCTGCCATCCGGGTGGTCGTCTCGCCCGACCACTTCTCCAGACCTGGGTCTCTTCATGTTGCTCCGTATCCATAACACTCTCCCCCACTTCAGGAATCACCTTGTCCTCAAGGTGAAGATGAGGAAAATTCCGCTGCATGGTCTCAGCCAGTTCCCAGGATGCGTCTGCAACCCCTCCGTCACTCCACTGGACGAGAAACTGATCCACTGCTCCCCCATTATGCAAAACTCGGCGCCGGTCCAATATCTTGACGGGTAAAGCCGGAGCCTGACCATCCACAAGCTCCGGTGGTAGGGCCAATGGTTGAGCGCTATCACCCCCTTCCTGAAGCTGACGCAGGACAGAAACGTGGAAGACGGGGTGGATACGCGACGTGTTAGGTAGGTTCAAACGATATGCTACCGGCCCGATCCGCTCCAATATTTCAAACGGCCCATAGAAACGCAAGGACAATTTATCTGATGAACGACGGACAACGGAGTGCTGCCTGTAGGGCTGTAATTTCAGTAGCACCAAATCCCCAACGTTGAATTCCACGTCACGACGCTTTCCATCGACCATTTGCTTCATACGATGCTGAGCAAGCTCCAAGTTAAGGCGTAGCAGCCGTAATAGTGCGTCCCATTCCCCCAAAATGTCGTCGACCGCTTGAACTCGGCCAGAGCCGCAGGAATAAGGAATCAACTCCGGCGGAGCACGCCCATACACAGCCTGAAAAGGGGTCATTTGCAGCCCATGGTGGTAGCTTGTGTTGACGGAGTACTCGGCCCAGGGTAGTAAAACCGTCCAGCGTTTGGGTTTGGCGTGGGCGAAGGCCCGCAAATACTGCTCCAGTGTGCGGTTGAGTACCTCTGTTTGCCCATCTGTCTGCGGATGGAACACCGTATTGTGCTTGAGTGTGGTTCCGCTCAACGCGTGTAACTCCTTCCAAAAGGCGCTAGTAAAAATCTTGTCATGGTCCGAGACAATAGACTTCGGGATGCCGTGTAGTTTCACCACCATGTCGGTAAACAAGAAGGCCGTACGATGGGCATCAAAATCCCCCGGTAACTCCCCAAAGTGAGCATACTTGGACAAATGATCGACCACCACCAAAATGACCGATGACCCTCGAGATGGTGGAAGGCCTGTAATGAAGTCCATGCTAATATCCTCCCAAATTTGCACGGGTATGGGCAGTGGTTGAAGAAGCCCGGAGGGAGGTTGTGTGGAAAACTTTGTGGTCTGACAAGTGCGGCAGCCGGCCACAAAACGGCGAACATCCCCGAGCATACCCGGCCAATAAAAAGATTGCGCTAGTCGCTGAAAGGTGCGGTGCACGCCCGTATGTCCCCCAGTTTGAGATGCGTGATATTCCTTCAGTAATTCGAACCGAATGTCCGACTCCCCACTGATGCAAAGTCTCGTGTTGTAGTACAAAATGCCCTGGATGATCGAAAAAGGTGGTTTGAGAACTCCCCGCTGGTACTCGCCATGCAAGCGCTGTAAATCCGGCCGTGTGGTGTTCTCGGCTTGGATTCGATGTAACATCTCCGGAAAAGGTTGGGACAGATGGCAAAGCTGGGCTTCCTCCGTCGGTCGCTCTTGACGAGATAGTGCGTCCACCACACAATTGTGCCGACCTGGTTTATATTCAATCCGAAAACAATACCCCAATAATTTCCGGACGTAAAAGTGTTGGTCGGGGGTTTGAATCACCTGCTGTAGCAACTCCCGCAAACTGCGTTGATCCATCTGGATCAAAAATTCCCTGCCCAAGAGGTATTGTCGCCACTTCTACACAGCTTCAACTATGGCGTATAATTCTTTGTGATAGGTGGATGCCGATTGACGTCGGAGGCCCAATTTTTTGCTAAAGTAGGCAATGGGATGCTCCTCCTGGAGTAGGACAGCCCCAATTCCCGTTGCCGATGCATCCGTGTCCACCATGAACAGTTTGGAAAAATCATGTAGCCGTAGAACCGAGGCGGAAATGAGGGCGTTTTCTAGGTTCTGGAACGCTGTGGCAGCCGCCTCCCCCCAAGTGAAAGCGTCTTTTTTTAGCAAGTTCGTCAATGGTGCGGCCAAGTCTGCGTAGTGGTGGATAAAGCACCGATAATAGCCTGTTAAACCCAATAAACCCTGCAGTTGTTTGATAGTAGTAGGAACTGGCCAATCGACCAAAGCTACGATTTTTTCCTTGTCTGCGTGCAAATGTCCCGCCGAAATCACGTGGCCGAGGTACTCAATGGAGGTGGTGCCAAAAGTACATTTGGAGAGCTTGACGAAGAACGTATGTGTCTGGAGCAAACTAAGGACGACCTCCAAATGCATTGTATGGTCGCGAAGGGACGGGCTATAAACTAAGATGTCATCAAAGAATACTATGACAAAACGGCGTAAATAGGCCGCAAACAACCTGTTCATACAAGCCTGAAAGGTAGATGGGGCATTAGTCAACCCAAATGGCATGACCCGGAATTCATAGTGACCCTCATGTGTTCGAAACGCCGTCTTGTAGATATCTCTATCGTGCATACGAATCTGATGATAGCCGGAACGGAGGTCTAATTTAGAGAAAAAACGTGCGGCGCCCAATTCATCAAACAACTCGTCCGCGGTAGGGATTGGAAAGTGGTCAGGTATTGTTACGGCGTTCAAGGCCCTGTAGTCGACACAAAACGGTATGTTCCATCCTTCTTCTTGACTAGCAACACCAGAGAAGAGAATGGACTCCGGCTAAGCTGAATTAGACCCTGATCCATCATCTCCTTAACGAGGCGCTCAATCTCGGTCTTTTGGAAGTGGGGGTAACGGTACGGGCGTACATTCACTGGGTGGGCACCCTGCTGGAGGAAAATCCGATGGTCAGCAAGACGCCGTGGGGGCAGTCCCGTCGGCCGGGCAAAAACTGTAGGGTATTGGCGGAGAACTCGAAGAACTTCGGGTGGCAGATCTGCTGGCCATTCCTCACTGGCCGTGGTAGAGGCTGGCGTGCTTGGGGAAATCACCTGCTCGAAGCAGGCCGCTACTTGGTTGGTGGTACAAAGCCCATGAAAATGATGTAACGACAACGGTTTTGGTGATATCGGATCGCCGCGGAGGGTCACTAGCTTCCCCTGCCAAGTGAAATCCATAACAAGCTTGGCGTAATCATGCGTCACCCTGCCCAATAATTGCAGCCATTGAACCCCGAGCACCATATCCTGCCCATGAATGGGTAAAACATTGATGTCCACGTAGAATTGAAACCCCTGCAACAAGAGTGGTACCTGGAGACTTTGCCGGGAGCAAACCAAAAATTCCCCGTTGCCCACGTACACGCGGAAGGGAGGGACGTCCGTGACGGGTAACTGCGCCCGCTCAATAATGGATGGGTGGACGAAATTGTGAGTACTGCCTCCGTCAATCAAGACGTCAACCACCACCATATTGATCATGCCAGACAGCCGTAAGGACCGTGGCGCGGTCACAAGGCTATGAAGGGAGGAAACATCAGCGGCGAGGACCGTATCGTCGGGAGGTTCGGTAGGATCATCTTCCTCATCATCCTCAAATAATAACAAGAAACGCCCGCAATTATGCCCTTTCTCCTACTTTTCATCACAATTATAGCAGAGATCCTTAGCATCGCGTTCCTTGCGTTCGGCGTAAGAGAGGCGACGGACAGGAAGGCCGGCCTTGGGTTTGGCAGTGAGTGGTGGCTTGGTTCCTGGGGACGGCAGTAGCGGTAGGTTTGAAGTAGGGGTTTGGGGTTTAGAGCCCACATGGTCACGAAAATTACCCTTCCGTTGCGGCATGGCTGTCGTCCACGCTGTATATTTAACTTCAAGTTCCCGGGCGAGAGCAAAAGAGGCGGACAGTGACCCTGGTTTAAGGAGCATAATTTCATGTTGAAGATGAGGTTTCAAACCTGCATGAAAAAGGGACTGCAGATTCGGTTCAGCCACCCCGTTGACGTTAACCAATACTCTCTCAAACGCCTGTTGGTAGTCCAACACGGAGCCGGTTTGGTGAACTTTAGAAAGCAGCCTGAAGTAGTCCACATAACTGAGGGGATCGAAACGAAGCTTGAACTGTGCGACAAAATCCGCCCAAGAGGTCACCAGAGCGTTCCGTTGGCGCCAACGAAACCAATCCAGTGCAGGGCCCTCGAGCATAAGGGAGACGGCAGGGAGGCGTGCTTCATCCGTGATGCCGTAGAAGACGAAATATTCATGCGCTTTGAAGAGCCACCCTAAAGGATCTGCGCCGTCGGTTTTGGGCATCTCCAACTTCAATTTGGACATGAGAGGGACCGGATCAGGGCCGTTGCCTCCTCCCGTGCGGGGGGTCATGAAACCCGTGGCTGGGTTCTTCTCGAGACGGCTGAATAGGTACCCAAAGTGGTGCTGAAGTTGTTCCATGCTTTGCTTTAGGGTTTGCATGGTGGATGTATGAGCCAAAAGTTGCCGATCAATTTGCTATTGAAAATCCCAAAAGTCAGCAGCGGTGATCACGTCGGAAGACATAATGAAAGCACCAATGATACGTATCGTATTGGAAAGAGAAGCTTCGAGTGTTCTCTAACTCCAAGAAGGTGAGAATATTGAAGAAAAAGAGAGAGAGAGACGAGATTGAGGGAATGAGGGGAAGGCCGTGCGGCAAGGTAGGGGAGAATTAGGTTTTTTTATTTTTTCCCTTATCATGGAGGACTACACCTCTATTTATAGGTTTAGAAAGAATCCCCTTCCTAGTAAACTAAGTTTTCTATCCTAACGGTTCAAGAAAAGCGACGAGGTAAAGAACCGTAAAGAAACCCTCGAAGGAGCTTATAATTCGCTCACCTAGTAAAAATATACGATACATTTAAAATAAAGTAAAATAGTGAAAATCATTAACGCGTAATGAATTCCCGCTGCCATCCGGGTGGTCGTCTGGCCCGACCACTTCTCCGGACCTGGGTCTCTTCATGTTGCTCCGGATCTATAACACATTGCTCATGCATAGCACAATGTGTGGATAGCGTCCTGATAGAGAAGAAGAAGAAGAAGAAACAATGGAAATAAAACTCAGATGATCACAAAGAAAGCAGTTTTCATGAAGAAGAAATCCCGACAACGTGAGCGGCGGATTCCCGCCGGAGAGTTTCTATGGACTCCATGAAAAGATTGAGCCTTCTTATGGGAGTTATGTTTTGTTTTGTTAGATGAGGGCGATGATTCCAAACTGGTGCATCTCGTTAAGACGCCATAGCGGCTGAACATCTTCTGCCTCTACCAGTTCCATTGCTCATGCATAGTACAACGTGTGGATAGCGTCCGGATAGAAAAGAAGAAAAAGAAGAAGAAGAAACAATGGAAATAAAACTCAGATGATCACAAAGAAAGCAGTTTTCATGAAGAAGAATCAGGGAGAGTTAGTTATTGTTTGGATGATATAGAGAGTTCCAAGACATGCTTTGAGATTTTAAAATCGTGTGTTGACACAACATCCATTTATTTGTTTCATGAAAACCTTTTTTGGGAACAACGTTTAACGTTTTGAATCATTTTTTATATCTCTCAAAATGTTAAAGCTAAACGATGTCATTGGACAAACTTTCTTAAAACAACAGTGAAGTTGTTGCCGGACGGGCATGAGATATTGAAAAACCCGTGTGCATATATTCCAACCTTGTTTCACAACAAAACTCGATTTCCATGCTTTTTAGAATGAAAAATGCCTACTTTAACTATTGAGACTAAGGTTGGCACCATTTGTGACACAAACAATCGTGACCACTAATGATGACACCACATTTTACAACACACAAAGAATTGTCAATGAGACAATCATTGTATGCGATGCGCAAGCGGTGTCAACCATAGTGTCATTTGTGGTATGATCGTAGCATGATCCTACCATTAAAAGGTATCAGAACTCATATATCTCCTGTTTTCACCAAACGGACCCTTAATATGTACTCCCATCTCTACTAGTTAATAGTTATGGTTTCTTACCTTTCCTCTTTCTTCTATGGACCCCAATTCATTGTGTACACAATAGACCTGTTGTGTTTGGAACTGCAGCAATTCCAAATGCCAAATAAAAAAATACAAAATCCAATCAGCATTATCAGCAAGGAATTTTACTTTATACGAATGTTAAGAATAAAGTGCTAAATTGTGTTTTACCGCTAGCATGATTACGGGAGTATCCCTGATCAATCTTATTTCCTGAACTTCGACGTAAGCGATATGGAGGATCTGCAAACATATATGGGATTCAAATCGACAAAGCAAAATTACCGCATAACAGAGTAACACATATAGAGTTTTGATAAAAATCATAAAACTTGATGTTACGATTTAGGATGCATGACTGAATTTATTTTCAAAAAAAAATTATTTCAAGAATTGGTTTGACTATGTTATTTTAACAAATGAACAATGATAGTTTGACATTGTCTGGCCCGCCCAGCCCGCCTTTTAAAAAAGGCGAATATGGACAACCTTCAATACCCACATGGGCGGGCTGGCCCGAGCACGAATTGTATCTGGGCGGATCTGGAAGTAACTTTTAGCCCACCCGGGCCAACAGGCCCGCTCATATTCATCAAAAATATTCACTTTATTATTAATTATCTAGCCAATATAATTTTGAAAAATTGTTATAGTTCATGTATAATGGTTCAATTCAATCACCTCTCTTAAACAAAAATCAATATTCTTTTAATGAATTAGTATGATGGGTTTATTAATTATGCAATAATACCTCTGTTATGCTTTCTCTGTAAATTTGGTGAGTGGTGATTTTATTTTATACATTATATTGAAAAAAGAGTTCAATGTTTTTTTGGATTTTTTGTGCAAAAAAAGTTTTCTTTGTGTTTTATCCGGGCCGGGCGGCCCGGTGGGTAGTTCGGCCCGCTAAAGTGGGCAGGTATGGGTAAAGAGTTTAGCCCATCAAATTCGGGCCGGGCTAGACCCGCCCATGTAAATGGCTAATAATTTGCATCCAGCCTGGCCCGAATCCGGCCCGGATCCTTATTTGCACATGTATAGTAAATACTCCCTCCGTCCACAAATAAACTTCCCGTTGCGCATTACGATGTTTGACTAAAGTTATTTTTAAATAATTTTAAAAGAAAAATGATGTAATATTTAAAAATAAAAATTACATATTAAAAAACTATATCAAAAGATCTACAAAACTAGAGGTGGCATGACTATATTATTTTATCAAATAGGTGACGAAAATGGGCTAACAAAGTGAATAAAGTTTGACCTTGTGAATAGTGAACGTGAAGTTTATTTGTGGACAAAGGGAGTATAAAGTAACAAAAAATTATAAATCACATATATCAAATATATGGATAAATCTGCAAAAATATATTTATAATTTGTCTATTATTTTTTAAAAAGTAAACAAAAAACAGGAAAAATCCCCAAACGAGTCCTAAATTGGTGTCATATCATAATTTGATTCATTACTTTATGATAAAAAAACTTAACCCTGGCTTTTGTAAGAAACACTTTTACTTACTAATTTATGGTTTAAGTGCATATACGTTGGTAAGTAGTAAGTTTTGTCTAGCCATTCACGTTAAATTGGACGTCTTATGGGGGGTAACTCACTTACTTTTTTAGCTATTTTTTTGAAAAAAAAGATTCTCTTTACTTCTAGCTTCTAAATATTGTTGTACTTTATTTTTTTTTCTCGTCTAATTGTTGATTTTTTTAACCTTTTTTTAATAACATGACCCACTTACATTCAATTTCGTTTTTAGTTTTCTTTCTTAGATTTTTACTTGAATTCTTGTTGTTGTAATTATGTTAGTGATATTAATACTAGTACTAGTTGAAGTGCGTATTGTAATGTATTTTTACTTTTTTTTCCCTCCTTTTCTCTTTCACTTGGATTGAAAAAAAAATGTAAAAAGTATAAAATCAAAACAAAAAAAAGTTATCTTGATGCGCTTAATTGTTTTTTTTACTTGTGCTTCTAACCATCTACTTTGAGAGCTTTTTGCAAGATTTGTTGAATTTTAGGTGGAAGCATAGGTGTTTGGAGTAAAAATCTGCACAAAATATAATGGTGCAAAATCTGTTATGAAACAACAACTCTTGGTGTCCGGTGTTGGTATACTGTCAATTTTCTATTTCTTGAAGCCTTGGGTGTTTAAATTTGGTCTTATTTGAGTTGGAAACTGAAAAAATATACACTTCTTGATGGGATTAACCCGATCAGATGGCGAACCAAGAACGAGGTATGAATCAGGAAGATATAATCACTCGATAATATTCTTCTATTGAGTATTCAATTGTCTCTCCTTTTACAATGGCGGGTTCTCTACCCTTTTATAGTATTTCTAACATTGTAATTAAAATTATACAAAGTGGAAAGGATTATGGAGATAATGGGGTTGTGATTCCCCCTTTTCCGGTCTCGTTCTCTTCCCATTTCGTCCACAACTTGATGATGTGGGCCACGTGTCCCATTCTTCCCTTGGACTGGGTCACCTTAATCTACTTGCCATATGCGCAATAACGGGCTTGGCCCGTCATCTCCGTCTGACCTACCTTTTGGGCTATTATGGGCCTTTATTTGGGCCTGGAGTCGGGCCTACCGGACCCGATATCCATCACAAGCCCCCTAGTTTTCTGGCGACGTGTCGCTAGAAAACTAATGATGAGCCGCCAATCTCCCTGTCAGCCGCTAAACTTCCTTTGTTGTCTTCGGGGGTTCCATCTCCATAATAGCCCTTACTTTCTTCGGGTTTGCCTCAATTCCTTTCCGGCTAACCATGTGCCCAAGGAATTTCCTACCCTGAACAGCAAAAGTACATTTCTTTGGGTTCAATCTCAGATTTACCTTCATCATGATTTCAAAGACCTCTTCAAGGTCCCGGACATGGTCTCGGGCCTCTTTGGATTTGACAATCATGTCATTAACATACACTTCCATGGTCCGCCCTAAGACAGCCTTGAACACCTGAGAAACCATCCGGGTATATGTCGCCCCGGAATTTCTCAGCCCAAAGGCCATCACCAAGTAACAGTACAGCCCTTCTGGGGTCATAAAACTTGTCTTTTCAACATCAGCTGGATGCATCCGAATCTGATGGTAGCCACTGAAAGCGTCCATGAAGCTCATTAACTCTGATCCGGCAGTCTCGTCCACCATCTGATCAATGTTGGGGAGAGGAAACGGATCCATGGGACATGCCTTGTTCAAATCGGTGTAGTTGACGCACATCCTCCACGAAGGGGGCTTGGGCGCCAGAACTACATTTGCCAACCAATCCGGGTACTGCACCTCCCGGATATGCCCAATGCTCTGCAGGGTCGCTACCTCCTTTTTCACATAATCTCTTCTTTCCTACGACAAATGCCTCCGTTTCTGCTTCACTGGTTTAGCATCCCGCAGGACATTTAGGCGATGAACTGCAATCTTGTGATCCAGCCCTGGCATATCAGCTGGACTCCATGCAAAGACCTTCGTGAACCTTCTAAGGACTGAAATCACTCGTGATCTGAGTTCAGCCCCCAGCCCCTTGCCAATCCTAACAAACCTTCCCGGCATGCCTGGCTCCAGTTCCAATTCTTCAATGTCGCTAGCAACTTCTACTCTGGGACGTTTTTCCTCAGCCCTCAGGAGCTGCGCAGTCACCTCTCCCACTTGGGTATCGTACTTGACCGGCTGTTTAGTTGCCTTCAAATACCATGCCCGGGACACTCTCTGAGATCCCCTGGCAATTCCAACTCCGTGGGAGGTCGGGAATTTTATGCATAGGTGACGAGGTGAGATGACACACTCCAAATCTTCCAACCCGGGTCTGCCCAGGATGATGTTTGTGCTGGAGATTATCCCCACCACAACAAACTCCATGTCCAACTTCCGGGTAGCCTTAGTATCCCCTATCTCAACCGGGAGGGTTATCACCCCCTCCGGTTCAATAGAGTCACCAGTGAACCCGGTTAGTGGAGTTTTGATGGGTGACAATTCATCCCTTGTCAAACCAAGAGCCTTGTACGTATCCATATATATGATATTAACGGAGCTTCCCGTATCCACAAGGGTTTTGTGGATCAGTAAGTCCATTATATCAATAGTAATCACTAGGGCATCCCTATGGGGGACCCCTGTCTCCGGAAGATCAACATTAGAAAATACAATTGGCTCGGTTTTCAGCTTCTTACCTTCTGGGACCAGCACCTTGTTGACCATCGCCGCGTTTGCCCACTTCTTTCGGCTTGCGGCTGAGTCTCCGCCAGTATTCCCTCCAATGATGAAGTTACACCCGTGGTGTCTCTTCTAGCGATGTGGTGCAGGCTCCGAATCCTCCTCTTCATCTTCAAGCCCAATGTGGCGTTTCTCCCGGGTCTCAGCCTGGGCCACTTCTTTATCTCTGCGCTTTCCATTCGGAGCGTTCCCGGGATTTCCCGCATCTCTATCTTGCACGAACTTCTTCAGATGACCCCGGCGGATTAGCCTTGCCATCTCATTCTTCAGGGTATAGCAATCTTCCGTATTGTGATCATTCTTGCGATGGTAAGCACACCACTTTCTAGTATCCTCCACATTACAGACCTTTTGAGAATAGGTTGGATAAGTCATGAGTCCCTGCTGTGCAGCGTGGGCCATGACCTCAGCCACTGGTAATGTGAAGACTGGATTGGCAGATTTGTGCTTCTCCGAGGTCCCAGGACTTGTGCCCCTTGGGCCATCCGGGAAACCCTGCTTCTTATTTTTAAACGGCTTCTTATTTCCTGTCTTCTCTTCTTCTTTGGGAGTCTTCTCTTTCGTTTCCTCCTTTCTTTCTTCCAGGGTCACATACCTCCCCGCCCGGACCATTGCTTCTTCGAAGGTATCCGGGGGATGAGTAGTAAGATCGGTGTGAAGGAGTCCATCCTGTAATGCTGCTGTGAACATAGCCAACCTGGATTTATCGTCGGTTCCTTCAACCTCCCTGGACTCTTTCCTCCATCGGATAAGGAAATTCTTCAAGGATTCTCCATGCTTCTGTCGTACTGAAGCTAAGTGAGTGAAATGCTTCTTGGGACGGCAGTTCCCGGCAAAATTCTCTAGGAACCGTAGTCCCAATTCATCCCATGTACGGATCGACCCAGCAGGAATATGGTTGGCCCAATCCGCGACCTTGCTATCAACTATCTGCAAGAAGCACCGGCACATGAGTGCGTCACTGGCGTCTACGACAATCATCACTTGGACATAGCTGTTTATGTGTTCTTGGGGGTCTGACTCCCCATCATAACGCTTAACGAACGACATTTTGAATCCCTGCGGATATGGTTCCGCAAAGATCTCCGGCGCTAGGGGAGTATTCGTCCGGGTAGTGAATACTCGACCCTTGTTTATCTTCCTCTGCATCTCCCGGATCTGCTGCCTCAGATCCTGGAACTCACCAGTTTCCGGTACCGGCGGCCCCAAATGCCATGGCGCTGGGACCCTGGCTTGGCTTTGAACTTCGTCCTCCTCCAAATTCACCATTGACCGGACCGGCGCTTGGATCCCACCACGGCCGTTTCGCTGCCGGGGTTCGCGGTTAGAAGATGCCACCTGGCTAGCCTGGGGTCGTATCCAACCCTGGGGTGCCTTATCCGGATTCTTCCCCAGCCTCTCACTAACGTGAGCCTTCTGGCGAGATATCCTTTCAAAGATGGATCCCCGCGGGTTTTCGTTTCCATCGCCGACGATCCGGCTTGCATCCTTGGCCCGATCCTCATTCACCTTACTATTCCGGGCCAACTCCTCCGCCCGGCGTCTGGCAATGGCTCGTCTCTCCCTCTCAACCTCTTCCGGATCATGAAGCTCCTGGAGAATAGGAGAACTCGCAGTACGCAGTACCTGACGGGGTTGGCCGGCAGGGATGTCCCGGATACCGGATGGACCTGGAAGAGCCTTATCCAATCGTTCCATAATGTTGGCCATCATGTTAGCCACATTATTCAATGCCGTTTCCAACCCATTGACAGGAACGATCATACCCTGCTCAGGGTTGTCACTCCTTACCGTCGACTGGGCGGAAGCAGCAGTGTTACGTCTCGTCCTTCGTCCGGCCATAATCTCACAGCCTTATCTCACAGTAACTCTCAATGAGAGCACGAATGATGGGATTAACCCGATCAGATGGCGGACCAAGAACGAGATATGAATCAGGAAGATATAATCATCGATAATATTCTTCTATTGAGTATTCTATTGTCTCTCCTTTTACAATGGCGGGTTCTCTACCCTTTTATAGTATTTCTAACATTGTAATTAAAATTATACAAAGTGGAAAGAATTATGGAGATCATGGGGTTGTGATTCCCCCTTTTCCGGTCTCGTTCTCTTCCCATTTCGTCCACAACTTGATGATGTGGGCCACGTGTCCCATTCTTCCCTTGGACTGGGTCACCTTGATCTACTTGGCATATGCGCAATAACGGGCTTGGCCTGTCATCTCCGTCTCACCTACCTTTTGGGCTATTATGGGCCTTTATTTGGGCCTGGAGTCGGGCCTACCGGACCCGATATCCATCACTTCTCAATCTGATTTTTAAGCTGAAACTGAAAATACGCACTTTGTAAGCTGTTTTTTTAGTTCAAAATGAAAATTTTACACTTTTTACGGCTTATATGTGCTAAATTAGACAAAAGTCTGCATCATTTAAACCTGATATTTTTGTTCTTCAATGTTAAAATACTTGGTCTTAGCCTTCACTTTGCAGATTTTTAGGTCCATCGAGCAGAATAGGATAGGAATGGTGAATTGATGTTGCGTATACTTTTTTAAATTTGCATTCTCCTTCCCATCCTTTCCCCTTTACTTTTTTACATTACTCCTCATCCCCTTCTCTCTCAGCTTATTCTCTTGGTTATATCATTGTTGTTCATTTGTATATCATATAAATGCATCGAGATCTATGCATAATTTAAGTTTGGGGGAAGGTTCTCATGTTTATTTGAGGGAGTATATTTTTGGGCAATTTTTTAAAATTATGTTTTGGGTCCAAATATTTTTGTTATTCTTAGTTGCATATCTTCTTATTTAGAGCATTGTTTTAAACTTGACCCAAAAACTTCAATTTTTTTTGTTTTGTTGAGCTTTGTTCTAAAAGATAACAAATGTATACTTTACAAACTCGCCTTGAGTCTTGATGGCCTTTTTCTTGGTAAAATGATCTTAAAATGTTTTGCAATCCTTCTTGGCATTCTTTTGAATTTTATTTTCTAGAACTGTCCATCCACATATTATCTAGATGCTGGTTTATTCACTTTGTGTGATATTAAAAATGAAACTAGTTTTAAGAAACTAGTTTTAAGAACTTTTTATTTTTAAGAAAATTGTGTGATTTTTCTTTTTATATTTTTAGGCTTATTTTGATAAATCTTGCTACCGATGCCATTGAGCCGTTTGAACCATAAAAATTCCCTTAGGACACTTTTTTGTGTCAACTTTAGACTATTTTTTTAGAACCCAAATAACTCATTGTTTAGTTCTCCATCCTTTTAGGATGTTTACCTCAGTTTATTTTTAAAATGCTATGGGCATAAAATCTTAAGTGTGGGGAGGTAAAGTGTAATTTATTTTTCTTCATGATGATAAAAAGTTTGGTTTCTGTTTGATCTTTTGAACGAGGAAGTTCAAGTCTTAAGTGTGGGCCATTTGATAAGTCGGCTTTAGTTAGTTCTTTTTATTTTATTTTTTTAGGCAATTTTAATAATTTTAGAGTTTAATTTTTAGTTGTTTAGATTAGTTTTATTTTAATTCTCATTTTTGCTATCTTTTAATTTTTTTCTTTCAAAAATAAAAGTTTTTATTCAACTTTTTTTCATTCTATTATTTTTATTTTTTTTCTCTAACCCAAATTATTAGATATCCTATTTTCTGAAGAAAAATATAGCAGAAGGCCAAAAATGAAGCTCAAGTTTGAAAAGAGGAGATTGATTTTTGGCCAGAGTGCAAAACCCATCATTAAATCAACAAAAGAAGAGTAGCCCAACATTCCTCTCCTCCTTCCTCTTTCGTCGCACGCAAGAAAAGGAGAAAACAAACCTGCGTTAGTTCTTCGTCGTCAACAGAACGGAAGACCAATTCCTTCAATAGTTCTTCTCCAACGTTCGCCAAAATCAATGCTCCAACGCGAAGAATTCTCTTGCTATAAATTGGTGAATCAACACACAAGAAGGGGGGAACAACGAGGGGAATCACCGAAAAAGAGCAGCGGCTCTAGCCGCGGCTATCTACGTAGCTCCGGCGAGTAGTGGCGGCGGTGAGCGCGGTTGTGATCTCCAACTCCGGTCATGGTTCCTTCAAGCTCCAATTTCTTCAATTTCATCATCTTCTTCAACAATTTGGTAACCCTATATTTGTCAATTTCAATTTCATCATCTTCTCATTTTTACTATCTTTTAATTTTTCTTTCAAAAATAAAAGTTTTTAATCAATTTTTTTTCATTCTATTATTTTTATTTTTTTCTCTAACCCAAATTATCAGATATCCTATTTTCTGAAGAAAAATATAGCAGAAGGCCAAAAATGAAGGTCAAGTTTGAAAAGAAGAGATTGATTTTGGGCCGGAGCGCAAAACCCATCATTAAATCAACAAAAGAAGAGTAGCCCAACACTCCTCTTCTCCTTCCTTTTTAGTCGCATGCAAGAAAAGGAGAAAAAAAACCTGCGTTACTTCTTCGTCGTCAACGGAAAGGAAGTCCAATTCCTTCAACAATTCTTCTCAAACGTTCGCCAAAATCAATGCTCTAACGGGAAGAATTCTCTTGCTATAAATTGGTGAATCAACACACAAGAAGGGGGGAACAACGAGGGGAATCACCGAGAAAGAGCAGCGGTTCTAGCTGCTGCTATCTACGTAGCTCCGGCGAGCAGTGGCGGCGGTGAGCGCGGTTGTGATCTCCAACTCCGGCCATGGTTCCTTCAAGCTCCAATTTCTTCAATTTCATTTTTTTTCTCCAATTTCTTTGTAAAAGTGTTGTTTCAATTCAAGTTTACACTTTTTTTTCCTTGTTTGTGTTAATTTCAAAAAACTTCTTAAAAAAAGGTAAGTGTTTTTTTTTTGGATTTATGTTTTTTTGAATGTTTATATTAAAATACCTTGTGAATGAAAATTGATTCATATTAGTTTTTTTCAGTTTTTGTGCAAATTGTTGTTGAATTGGTTGAATAACACGGTTTGATTTCATAAGTAGGTTGGTATGTCGAATTTGGTTTTCATTGAAGCTATTTTAGCTACATATTATAGTTAAATGATTCTCGAATTCATACGTGATTTTTCGTTGTGCTATGTGTTTTGTAAAATTTTAAGGTTTATGGACTTCTTAGCCCCATAAGTTGGACGTTTTCCTTAAGATTCATTATTGAGTGATTGTTTATGTCGTGTGTTTGTTTGTTGATTTTCATAAAATTTAAGGTTGCTTAAGCACAAAAACAATTTTTAAGTTTTTAAAAATCTGTAATGTTTTCTTATGTGAATAGACTCGAATTCTTATGCTTATTTTGTTCAAAGAGACTTGCAAAATATTTTCATCATTAGACGTTAAATTTTATTAAAGTGTATAAAATGTTCTCTGTGGATAAATTATGCATGAGAGTTAGAATGAAAGAAAGATTCGCTCTTTTATAAACTTTTTCATCTTTTGGAATGATTGTTTGAGCGCTTGAGGTGAATTAGGGTTCAAAGTGATCCAAAAGGCCTTTAAATTACATGACTCCGGCCTTATAGAGAGTTGACGATCCTCTATATGTGGTCAATGATATGATTCAACTTGAGCCTTTGAATTATTTTCTATTTTTAAGTATGTAAGTTACGTAATATATTGTCTACGTGCTTATTATACATTCGATTTGTGTTCGATCTCTTTTTAATTTTGTTTCGAGTTCTTGGCGGTGTTTCTTGGGTTACCTTATTTGGCAAAGTTGATTATCTTTTGAGCTTGTTTTCCCTCGTTTTATAAAAAAAACCCAAAAAAATAATAAAACCAAAAAAACCAAAAAAATATTTACTTTTTATTCAACCCTCCCCCCTTCGTTATATTGTTTTAGTTTATAATATATGTTTTTATTTACTAAGTTTATTTAATAAGTGTTTGTTTATAAGTTATAAATATAAGTTTTTATACTTTTTAGTATATCTTAAATAAGTGCTTTGTTTTTATAAGTTATATTATAAGTTCTTCGTTTATATAAGTTATATTTATAAGTTTTTATATTTATTTAATTAAAAGTTTTATAAGTCTTATCATATGTGTAGTAGTTAGTTTGCATTTTTTTGTTTTATTTTCGAGACAATGTGTTTGCATGCTAAATTGGTTTGAAAAAGTATAAACTTTCTCTATGGGATCGACCATTACTTGTCATAGCTTTAGTTTTTATTTGAATATATCAAGGGGTTAGTTAAGGTTATTTATAAATATTTAATTTGTTTTAGACCGGACGACGAGTCTCCAACACTACTTCACGTAAAACCTAAAACGTTTATTTCAACTTTCAACATATTGGTTGCAATTAAATAGACAAATAAGGCCCTGCGTGCTCTGATAATTGATTATTAGAACATGACAATCGATTATCTAGCCACATTGAACTTTCCGGTTAGGCAGCAAAGCTTGATAATCTATTATCACAGAAGTGATAATCGACTATCAGCTCCTACTGAACTTTGGGTTCTGAAATAGGCCAACCTGATAGTCGATTATCCCAAAGAGACAATCGATTATTAGGGGCTGCGGAACCTTGGGACAGGAACTGCCATGCTTGATAATCGATTATCATCAATGCATCGTCGATTATCAGCCAATTCTGAATCCCAGGAACATCATGCTGAGGAACAAAGCATTTTCGGAAGAAAATTAGTACAGAATCAAACATACATGTATGGGTTGAACATAGACTTATTTCAAAGCAAGTCATTCATATCATCATGTACATCTTAGACGCATGTTGTAGGATCATGGAATACCATTGCATAACCGCGTTAAGAGGTCAGGCCTAGTGCGCCTCTTCCGCAGGCCCGTCTAGGAGCCTTCGGGGTCCAACGAGTTTCATCTGGAGGCCAGGGCTTGTGTACGTACATGGTAACTAGGCTTTCAGTTATCACCCACAGTTTCTAGTCTCCTTCAGGCGACCAAGGTTTCATCGGCTCATCACCGAGTGGGATGATCACTGAAGGGCATGGGGTCCCTGCACAGTTTAACTCATGCATCACGAATCATTTGGCATTGCATTGTTTGTAAATATGCAACTCTTAATTATTAAATTATATGTGGTATCTCGTGCTTTAGTACATGTACGATTATGTCTCTATCAATGTGAAGTGTATTATGTGTTCTACTGTTAGATTACCACTCAGCTTATGTTGAGCGTATAGCGTTGTCTTTGCTATATGCAGTTAGGCGTGATGATCATGGAGCTTGACCCGGATGATTGGGAGATCGGTGCGGCGGATAGGAAACGGCGTGGACCCAATTTATTTTTCGTTAAATATTACGAACTGTTTTGGGCTTGAACCCACCTTGTTGCACTTAATCCGTTTAGACTTAACGTTTGTTTGCTTTTATGTCTTGCATAGTGTAACGTAACATTTCTTTTATGGAGTTTACTTCCCAACAATTTTACTTAAATAAATATACAAAGGGTTTTTCTGTTTTACCAAAATTTAATTCAAAGAGTTTTATTCAGATGGTCCTAAAAACTGTGTGCGTAACCTTTTGGTATCAGAGAATTTGGTTTTAAAAATGATTTTGAAAACTCAATTTGAAAACATTTTCCAGGATCCACCGTCGCATCCCCCTTCGCATCTCCAACCGGGAAGGTAAACAGTTATCATCTTATTTATTATTACTATTTATCCTAATGGGAAATCTCCTTTCAGAAAGGAGATGAGTCAAGCTCCCGACCACGAACACGCTGGTCCCCAAGGGGAGCAGGAGCACGTGAGCATGCACACTGAAGCGTCAAGCTTCACACCGCAACAGCAGGTTTCGGAGCCCCAGGTTTTGCAGCCGATAGATGCCCCACAGGCGATTCCTATCTTCCAGCCGCAGTTGGCAGCCAACATGCTTAACCTCCTCCAACATGCTTAACCCCAAGTTCACGGGATCTTAAAGCTGGCTGAGAGTGAAACGTTTCTTACGCTTATATATTTGGAAACATTAAAATTAAAATACACCCGCATCTCAAACCATTTTCAATATGGAAAACAATGGAAATAATGTCCCAAAAAACTTTGAGAAAAAACTACACTCATGGATGGAGAGAGTGAAGAATCTGGAGAAAGAGCTCGGGGTATCGGAGACCGAACCAAAAGAAACCCAAAACGGGTCTCAAACTTGGATGGAAATCCAGAAAAATTTGGAAGAGAGAGTGCATGCTTTACAAAACAATCCTAGGATTCAGAGAGCAACCTTGATGGAACTTCCCCTATTATGAGTGATGAAGAGTGATGAGGAGGGGTTGAATTAAGGTCAGAATAAATTTCCCCCTTGTAAACGTTTAAAGTATGATTTTTAATTATTGTATCAATTATTGTACTGTTGTATTATTAAGTGATGAAGTTTAACACTCGACAGGAGTATTGTTGTATCAAATTGTTTAACAATCGACAAGAGTATCATAGAGCAACCTTGCATCCAATAAATTAAAGATGATCATATAAATGAATTAAAGAAACACTACAGAAATTAACTTCGTTGTACATTATTTAACATTCGACGGGAATATGAAAACCACAAAAGCACAAATGAAACTCGTTATGTGTGTTCACTAAGCGTGCACATCCATCACAAAATGTATAAACTTTTGATCACCATAGTGAGAAATACATTCTTGGACTCGCCACTTGAGCTCAGAGCCTCTGCCATGTTAACTCTGTACTCGTTGATCTTTCTCCTCATTATGTGTGCTCACTGAAGTGTGCACATCCATCACAAAATGTATAGACTTATGATCACCGTAGTGAGAAACATATTCTTGGACTCGCCACTTGAGCTCAGAGTCTCTGCCATGTCAGCTTTGTACTCGTTGTACCTTCTCTTCCATAGCCTCAAAGAAAGGCTATTTGGGTTCGGCCAATTACTCGGAGAACCCAAAAGCCAGTAGCTTTCAACGTAGTATACCATTTCTCCACCCCAAAATAACTTTACGGGAAGAAAACACATTGTTTTTGGCAGATCGTTCTTCGATCTAAAAGCAATGTGTTTTAGGTTACCGGCGAGGGGATAATGGCACAAGGGGCATAATGGATCATGAGAAATCCATTATGTTAGAAAAATAGACCAACGCTAGAGGGGGGGTGATCAGCGTTTGATCAAGAAATCGCAGGAATTAAAAATAAATAGAAGAGAAGTAAAGAGAAGAGTAAGAGGCACACCGAATTTACCCTGGTTCGCCACAACTTGTGGCTAATCCAGCCTCCCGAGAGACTCTCTCGAGCTACACTACTATCTCGTTAAGCTTAACGGTGCTTAACAAACCCGTACAACTTGAGAATTCGAGTCACACGAACCTCAACGAACCTTCGAAGGAAACAACCCTTCCTTCGAACAAGAAGAGAAATATTTTCTCTTGTCAAGTGTCTAAGAACACTAAAAACACTCAAGAACAATACTCTCCTTTAGAGTGGATAATGAGTAACTAAGAACGCTCAAGAACACAACACAAGCTTCACAAAAATGGCTCTCAAAAAGCTATGAATAAAGGATAAATGATTTGTAATGAAAGAGTAGGAGTTGTGAAGTAATGTGATATGTAAAACAGACCCAAACACCCCATTTTATAGTGCCGAAATAGGCTTCAACGGATCAAAACATTTAAGGGGTGATTGGCTTGATTTGTGGGATTTGATTGAAATTGGATCTGCTGAAAATCAGCCAGACAACGCTGTCCTAGGCTTGGACATCGCTGTTCTAGGCTTGGATTTTGAAAAATGGGAAGTAGCGGTCATGCAACAACGATGTCCAATACCCCTACATCGCTGTTTTGGCTGTTGACTTCCAAACAAAGAAAGTTTTAGCCTTAAATTCCTTCCAACGGTCAGGTCCCTACATTGATGTTCATTACTTGAACATTGCTGTTTAGGTCTGACTTTGATGGTGGAATGTTTGGCCTGACAGCGCTGTTGATGGGTCAACATCGCTATCCAAAAACTTTCTGCCAGAAGCATTTCTTTTTGTCTTAGATTGGACAGCGATGTAGGGTAGTCTACATCGCTGTTCCAGATGTTTCTCGAAACCCAACATTGGCTCAACAGCGATGTCTAACAAGCAACATCGCTGTTGGAAGACTTAACGTCAAACCATGGTTTTCAGCTTCCCATGCCAGACAGCGCTGTTGGTTACACCAACATCGCTGTTGGGCTGGTTTAGCCAGACCCATGGTTGGTTTAGTCATGCCGTTAGCCGATGTCAAAAATGTAAGTTCTCCAAAATAGAAACCAAGTATTAAAAACATTTGTTTAATGCATTTTGCTAAGAAATCAAGTGAAACATCTTGAAAACCACGTCATTTAGTTGAAAACAACAGCTAGCCAAGTTTGCGCCGTTTCGCATGGTTTTCACTAAGTGACCAAAAACGAAAGGTGGTTTTTGAAATGTTTTTGTTGGAGAACTAGTTAAATATGCCTAGAAGTAAAAACCAATCATTAAAAGTTAAAAACCACTTGGTTGGTTCGGACAGCAAAAACCAACGCCGATTTCTGAAGACCGAAGTCATATTAAAATCAAACGATCTCGTTTTTAGAGACGTTCCCCCTTAGTGTATGCATAACCCTTTTCTTCCCCCTTTTGACATTAACAAAAAGATAAACGATGATTTTATTTATTAAATTGGTAAATAGAGGAGTACAACGGAAGCAATTAAGGAAAAACAGGACAATAATAAAAAAGAGATAGAAATTCTAGGGGTGTCCTAGTCTTCGTCTTCGGTTTCCTCCTCGTCATCGTCGACGTCCATCTCATCCCCATCGATGGCATCGTCGAACTCATCTTTGCCCGGGGAGCTTGACGGGGCGTAGGAGTCATCGTCTTCGTCCTCGTCAGCGTACACTTGCCCAAAGAACGTCCCATGGTACGGTGGGGGGACGTAGTTAACGCGTTGGAAGTACGCGTTCATGGCGTACCCTTGGCGTTGCACACCCTCATCTAGCCGCTCAAGTTAGCCATCCATCCTGTCAACTTTGAAGTGAAGCCGGTTGAGGGAGTCGGCGATGGAGGTAAGGTTGGCCCGGGCCTGGGGTTCGGCTGGGCCAGCAGCAAAACGGCGCCGTAGCACGGCAGTGGCAGGTCCGGCGTTGTCCGACCGCTTCTTGAAGGTTTGGGTGCTGATCGCCCAAATCTTCGTGGCCTTCGTGAGCGGGCCAACGGTGGTCGTTACCTTGAACCGTTCAAGGATGTCCATCACCACAAACAGGTACGGGAGGAGGTGATCGCGGTCGGTGGACACGGCGACCGACATGTTGATCATGACAAACTTTGCCCAATTGATCGGGGCCATGTGCATGATCGCATTGAGAAGCTTGAGGTCCTCACCAGACATGATCATCTGCCCATGCTTCCGGGGCTTGATGATTCGGGACACGATGTAGAGAAGGAGCCGGCTCTCGGTGATCGTAGAGTGGATGGTGGGGCGGCCCGAGGCATGGCGAATGAGCTCGGTGATGCCAAGCTCATTGATGATAAGGCCCTCGTTGTTGAGCACCCATTCCTCTCCGCCATAGTGGGAGACGTCGTCGCCTTGGTAGGGGAGGCCGGCGATGCGCCCAAGTTGCTCAACGGAAAGCTCTATCGGCGTGCTCTTGACAAGAGAGTAGAGCACATCGCCCTCACGTCGGAGGTTGGAGTAGAAGGCCCGAATCAGCGCCGGGTCGATCTCCTTCCGAGCCGGGGAGACGAACGGCCAAAGGCCGACTTGATGAACTTGCACGTCTAGATCGTCGTAGCCCTGCAACTCCGGGAAGCGCTCCGGGACGATCCGTGGGGGAGCCACAACCCGTTTAGAGAAAAAAGTGAGGAAACGGGTGCGTTCCTCCTCGGAATCGAACCAGAGGTAAGACCCATCGTCGTAGTAGAGGCGTTCCTCGGAGAACGTCGCTGGTGCCTGGGATTTAGGCTTAGATTTCCCGGAGGTACCTGCTCTTTGCTTGTCTTTGCCCTTTGTGATGTTGAAATATCAAGAGAGAGTTGTAGAGAGGATATATTATGCCAGGAGATATAAGAAGATTGTGTTTAGATGTGTAAAAGTGAAGAGAGGGGGTCCCAATTTATAGAAAAAGAGGTTTCCAACGTCCAGATTTTCAAAAATATGGCTGTTGAGCCTCCAGACAGCGCTGTTTTGCGACTAGTTTTAAAAACAACTGTCAAGTGGACAGCGATGTTGGGTATCCTACAGCGATGTTCCAAAAGTTTCTGGAAATGTGTAACGGTTTGCACCCATTAGAACAGCGCTATTGGGTTTCCCTACATCGCTGTTTTACGATAGAAAAAAATTTTGTAAAAATGGACAGCGCTGTTGAATAGGGGGACATCGCTGTTTGAAAAGTTTCTGGTTTTGGTTGAAAACAAGGTGTTTTGGGTAGACAGCGGTGTTTAGAAAAGAGACATCGATGTTTAAAAAGTTTTTGGAAAGCAAGGGTAAATGGAACTCCCTGTGACAGCGCTGTTGGTGTGATGTACAGTGCTGTTGACTCAAGCTGGTTGACAGTGTTTCTCTCAACAGCGCTGTTAGGTTTCCTGGACAGCGCTATTTTCATGGTTCCCCCTGATTTCATGAACGGGGTGCCTGCAAAAAAGAAAAAGTTCTTCGATGCTCAAGGATTCCGAGTTCGCTTCGAATGCGGAAGAACGACTCTTTCTCTAAAGGTTTTGTGAAAATGTCGGCTAATTTGTTGTGTGTTTCAACAAACTCAATTTCGACATCACCTTTGAGAACATGATCTCTAATGAAATGATGCCTAATGTCAATGTGTTTCGTCCTTGAATGAAGAACGGGGTTCTTCGTCAAGCTTATGGCGCTAGTATTCTCACAACGAAGAGGAACGTGATTGATACTAAGGCCATAGGTCATGAGTTGTTGCTTCATCCAAAGGATTTGAGCACAACAACTACCGGCGGCTACATATTCCGCTTCGGTTGTGGATAACGCAACACTGACTTGTTTCTTACTAAACCATGAGACCAGAGAGCTACCAAGTAAGTGGCAAGTCCCACTCGTGCTTTTACGGTCCAATTTGCAACCGGCAAAGTCTGAGTCGGAATAACCAACGAGATGACAAGAAGAGCCTTTTGGATACCACAATCCAACGTTAACTGTTCCGACAAGGTATTTCATGATCCGTTTCACCGCTGTTAAGTGCGATTCCTTCGGACACGATTGATACCTTGCGCAAAGGCATACACTCAACATGATATCCGGCCTACTAGCGGTAAGATAGAGAAGGGATCCGATCATACCTCGATACTTTTTGACTTCTACTTCCTTACCTTTCTCGTCTTTGTCAAGATGGTCAGACGTGCTCATCGGGGTCGCCATGGCTTTGGCGTTGTCCATTTCAAACCGTTTTAGGAGCTCCTTGCAATATTTAGCTTGGCAAATGAATGTGTCATCTTTCATTTTCTTGACTTGGAGTCCCAAAAAGAATGTGAGCTCGCCCATCATTGACATTTCGAATTCACTTGTCATTAAAGTTGAGAATTCCTTTCACAAAGACTCGTTAGTAGCACCGAATATAATATCGTCTACATAAACTTGAACCAGAAGGATGTTATTGTTTTTACTCTTGATAAAAAGTGTGGTGTCAACCTTTCCCCTTTGGAAACCACTATCCAAAAGAAATTTACTTAAACGTTCGTACCAAGCACAGGGTGCTTGTTTAAGACCGTAGAGCGCTTTCTTGAGTTTGAAGACATGGTCGGGAAATTCAAAGTCTTCAAACCCCAGGGGCTGGTCAACATACACTTCCTCTTGAATAAAACCATTGAGGAAGGCACTCTTAACATCCATTTGATAAAGTTTAAAATCCATAGACGAAGCAAAAGCAAGAAGTAAACGAATAGCTTCTAAACGTGCTACGGGTGCATAAGTTTCTTCAAAATCAATGCCTTCTTCTTGATTGTAGCCTTTAGCTACGAGCCTAGCTTTGTTTCTAGTGATTATTCCATTTTCATCAAGTTTGTTACGGAACACCCATTTCGTACCAATAATCGT